CGCCTCTCCAGCCATACATTTGCCATAAGCTAAACAGATATCCATTCCTCTTCTTACTATTCCTGAACAAGCAAGAGACTGTACTTGACTTTCTTTGTTTTATACTAGTTTCTTGGAATCAGTGTCAACGTCTGAGTGTACCTGCAGCACACTCCAGTGTGGACCTGCAGCACACTCCAGTGTGCCATCAGGCTGGCAGGCTGGTCACTGAGACTCTTCAATAGGCCTGGAGGAAGAGCAAGAAGGAAGCCTAGCTGTTTTGGCACTCAGCAGTTGACTTCCAGTGACTTCCTTCTGTGAACTCATAGGAAGAAGTTAACTTGCAAAGTTTAATCCTGCTAAGATACCATGTTTTTGACAAATTCATTTGTTAACCCTTCTGCAGGCCTAGAATGTAAGGCTTTTCTGTTAGACTTCTCTATAATGAATTCACAAACAAGGCCCATACAGTTAGTACTACCCACGCAGGAACTCTTTAAAACCCCTATGATAATAAAGTGATGTGTGGAAAAAAGAAGAAAATATCATTCAGTAGTCCTATTTCAAAATATGTACAGAAAGGAAGGGTTTGTAAGAAATCATTGTTGTTTTTTTTTTTCTTCAGGTTCATAAGAGAAAAATGCCTTGATTTTCTTTCTCGTCTTCAAGAAAACATTTCTCTGAGGTTACTGCAAAAGAAATACAGCCGCTGGAACTATGGCCTATAGATCTGACTTTGGGTGTGATGATGATAACTTGTTAAGTGCTTTCTGCTCCACTCCACAAATCATGATTTATTGTCAAATGACACAAGCAGCTATCAATAGTGATGGGCCAGAGGAGTGTGGCTACCACATTGATCTCTGGATGCAGCGTTACAGCACCCAGCAGCAACGTGATATCAAATGCTTAGGCAGGATGCACCCCACTAAAGGTTATAAGTATAAATGGTCTTCAAAAAGTTCATGGAAAGATTCGAACTATCTTCCAATTCTATTTCTCCACCAACTTTTTGAAGTACCCTCATACTCTGACAGATTACCTAGCCTGTGAGTAATGTGTCCTTTTTCTACATTTAACCCAAAGCAGATGTAGGAGATAAAAACATAGATGTACCTGTCTTGAAATTTGAGATTAAATGTTTCACTTTCTAAATGTGTAGTCCCCCTTCCCCACTTACCATAAAGAGTTGGGGCTTTTTGAGAATTCTGACTATGTTTTAAGAATACAAAAACATGATTATCACTCAAATGAAGGTCCTTTTATGAGGATGTATCTCAATAGTACAGTGCTATATGTTGGAAAACAGAAACATAGCCGATAAAAGAGAGTTACGTTCATAGGCTATATCCTTCTCTTCATCAAGAAATAGAAGAGGTGTTCTTCAGTAACAATCACTTTTCCACCCTTTCCATCCAGCTCCAAATCAAACTTAAAACTGTCAGTAATAAAACAAGTGAAATAACCAGGTTGCTATTGGGTGGAAGTATGTGCCCATACGTTAATATATACACATATAATAAAATTGTTTCCATAAAGATCTAAGCAAATCATAAGATCTAAAAAAAAAATCAGCATCATTTTTTGAAGCATGAGACAACTTTTTCAACTCAGTTGGCTTCAAAATAAATTAATGTTTATTCTTAGGGGGTATCGAAAAAATATATTGGTAATTTACGGCAGGCCAAAAAACAAAAAAATTATTGACCTGGAGCCTGACACAGGAGTGCCTGCACTCTTTAAAAAGTCCAACTGAGGATAAGTAAGAATGCCCATAAAATCCAGAATTAATGCTCTCCTTCTATTTCACAATTTTTATACCAACAAAAATGATTCACTATTTCCCACAATTGATATGCTCAAGTAGCAGATTCTACCAGAGCTGTGATACTAAAAATTTGAAGAAAAATTTATCACTGGATGACTTCTAAGTCGAAGTGATGACAGGAGGACACCTGTCTACACCTCAGTAGCGCAGGCACCAACGACATATTGTACTAGAGCTCAGTGCTCCACCCCCTCTCCGGCCATTCAGCCAAAAACAAAAACAAACCATAGGCTAGTCTCATATGACATTAGGGAAAAGTACCCGGAGTGAGAGGGGGCCTGGAATTAAGAAAAAGTCCAAGAGGCCTTAGTTTCACAGCAACGGCCTCTGGCTTTACCTCACGAGGTTTCCCAATAAAAGCTGTGTTCAGAACCCTTCTTCCAGAGAGTGCAGAAGCAAAAATTGATACCACAAGGAAGGTGCACTTCAGCTTCCTCTGTACCTCAACAGCCTTCAGAGCTCTGGGCTCTTCTTTAGCACGAGCGATCAGAATTGCTCCCCTCTGGGGGTCACAGCTGGGCTCAGCACCATCTCTGATCCCCTTCCTCCCAATGCATGTCTGCTCGTGCACTTCAGCTTCCTCTGTACCTCAACAGCCTTCAGAGCTCTGGGCCCTTCTTTAGCACGAGCGATCAGAATTGCTCCCCCCTGGGGGTCACAGCTGGGCTCAGCACCATCTCTGATCCCCTTCCTCCCAATGCATGTCTGCTTCTGCAGGATGCCCAAAGAAACTAACTTGGCTCCATTTTGCCCTTTCCTCTTGGCATCCTTTTCCCAGCAGCACTTGCAATAGTCATTTCTAGCAAGCGATGCTAGGTATCATGACCACTATGCACACAGAAACCACTCAATTGTCTGGAGAGTACTATCCCCTCTCTTACTTGCCTTGAATGCACTGGCAGTTTCCATGAAACCAAAAAGTTTACTGCACTGGTATGGCTCTTTCCCTCTTTCCACTCCAACTTTCTTTGGATTCCCTTTTCAGACCCTCAACGTTGTTCATTATAACCTCATGGGCAAGTATTTCCACGGTTAGCAAGTGTTCTGTAGGAATCAAGGTTCTGCAAGACTTCTAGATACCCAAGTAATACTCTCAAGGTTCCCACTATCTTGTCTTTGATGCAAAGTAATTCTTTGCATCTGCTCCCTATCCCTAGACCTCTAGTGGGTGCTACCACTTTTCTCTTTATGCCCTAATCAACATCAAATTGCTTATCGTTCTGGTAAAGGAGTTCCTTGATTTTGTGACACTATGTGTGATATTCCTTCTGTCTGGAATACCGTTCCTCCTCTAATTCACTTTTGCTTGGAAAATACCTCTCATGGTCTCAGCTCAGGATTTATCTCCTCCAGAAAAATCTATCCCGATGCCTTTCCTCCAAGTTCCCCAAATCCTATACATACCTCCATCAAGGACATGCCCCATTGTACTCCAGTTACTGATCTGTGAGACACCCATACCTGACTTTGAGTTCAGAGAGGGGAGGGATTGTGATATAGTCATTTTTGTTTCTCCAGCATGGAGGGCAGACTCCATAAATGCTTTTGGAATGAATGTATGTGTGATGGATTAAACTCGATGGAGGATATTCATGAACACTTATCTTCTTTGGCACTGACACTTGGGAGATGAAGTTCTCTTACCACTGTGAGGTAAAGTCAACAAACTCTGCGGAGAACTTGTCTGCTGGGAGTTGTGGTGATGGCTCCTCCACCACCTGTTTGAGCTGCTGAAAGGGAGTTCCCCACGAATCATAGGGAAACCGAAGAATGGCCAACTCAATCTAGAGAGAAGAGAAAACAAGGAGACAAGGGTTTAAATAATAGGGGATCGTCTGTATTTTGTTCCCAGAGAACCAAAGTGAAATATAAAGGCAAAGATCAACTACAATTTGGGGGGCAATAAATAATCTCTAGCAATTTTCAAATATTATCTTACTAGAGACAGCCATTTAAATTTATTTAAAACTGGGTCCCTCCCTAAAACCCAAGGTAGCATTTCATAAAAATTGTAAGCCAACAGTATTAAACTTCAGGATGTAAAGCAACCAGGTTTTGAAACATTTGGTCTGGGAAGTAATTCTCACCCTAAGACCTTTACAAAGCTATACATCTGCTGCCATCTACAGGTCCCTTGGAGAAATGGTTTAAAAAAAAAAAAAAAAAAGGAAGCTAGGGCCTGATCTATTTTTGGACTTGAGTAAAGGCCACTTTGCAGTTACGGGATCATGTGTTTTCTGGGCAGAGACATGAAATAACTCACAGGACTTAATCAGCTGCCGTGCCTGGGAAAGAGCCAGGACCACAGTGGGTAATTCCAGACACTGGTGACACACTGAAAATTTATGATCACCAAAGTTATGAATAAGGCACTGCTGGTATAACTTTAGAGATGTGCCTAAGGATATTATCCTACTTGTTATTATGTCTTTAGGATATACATGACCTCAATAGCCAAGGCTTCTATGATAAAAATATCCCGGGAAAAATAACCTACGTCCTGGATAACAGAGCCCTATCAGGGTCCACACACCTCCGTGCTCACTGTGTAGCTTAAGCTTCTTGCCTTGACTAGAATAATTTAATTTTAAACTATAAGGAATATAGCCATACCCTCTCATTTTATGGATGAGGACAATATGGCAGTCCCTGTGACAATGTCAGTTACTCAAAGGCAGACAACTAGTGAGAGGCAAAATAAAGAGAAAAATGGATCTGTCCGATCCCAGTTCAGTAATTCCTACTATATCACACTACAAACAATTGTCACTCAAAGCCTCCTGCTGCATCAGGCAGGAAAGGATGCCCAAGACCAGCATTTAGGACATTTCCTTCTTGGTCCCAAAGTCCACCCCATTCCAGCTCCATGGCCAGGACCTCATAGTCACTGATAATTATCATACACTACCATTGTGATGCCCAGACTCCAAATATCAGACTTCACACTGTATCCCTTTTGGTTGAGCTCTGGGTTTATTCTTTCAGGCTGGAAAAGAGAGAGACAACTGAGGAAATGGAAAGACAGTTGAGATGACATTCTTAGCTCAATAAAGTCTCTGGGGGTGTGGGCAGCACCAGCTGCCAAGTGAGTGTTTTGAGCTCTTAACATGCCTCCCAGTAACTACAATAACTATCAATATCTCCATGGATTTTCTTTCTTCTATGTTAGTCTTTTCTTGGAGACAACAATGGATCAAAGTCTCTTCATACCAGATTTCAATTTCACCTTAAGAAGAAATGGGGTATAGGTTATAAAGCTACTTTGCCTATCTAGAATGATCCTTGTTAAAAAACACCAAGAGTCCAGAACTCAGCAAAAAAAAAAAATCAACAAGAGTCTGGTGTTAGCAGACCTAAGCAACTTTTAGCTAAGCATGGACAGGAATCTTTTCAGTTCCAAGCACAAGTTCGTTTCCAAGCAGAATACGACCTAAGTTCCTTTAGTTAAAGGGGATCCCAAGGTCTCTGCTAATGGCAATGAATTCTCACCTCTGTGAGGTTCTCTCCTAACTGATCTAACTGCCTTGTTTGTGTAATTTAAATTCTACTTACTATTCCGTCCTCAACATATGAGGTGAACACTCACCAGCAACTCCGTGTTGGAAAGCTGTGCAGGCTGTATGTATGGCTTATAGGTTCATTTCAAATAATGTATCTCTTTTACTTGATTTTTTAAATAATGTATAATGTTTGTGTTCTCCCAAAATCCATATGTTGAAACCTAATCCCCAATGTGACGGTATTAGAAGGTGGGGCCTTTGTGAGGTGATTAGGTCATGAGTGTACAGCCTTCATGAGTGGGATTAGTGCCCTCATAAAAGAAGCCCCATAAGGATCTACCATGTAAGGACACAGCAAGAACCAAAAGGTGGGCCTTCACCAGACACTGAATCTGATGGTGCCTTGATCTTGGACTTCCCAGCCTCCAAAACTATGAGAAATAAATTTCTGTTGTTGTCAAGCTACCCAGTGGATGGCACTTTGTTATAGCAGCCTGAATGGACTCAGACAATATATGAAGCAAAAGACTAAGAATTTCAGACAAGAACCATTTAAGAAAAAAGATGACACAGAATATTTCTCGAGTCTCAGGCCCATTTCAGTTTTCCCTCTGTGGCCATCCATCTATTTCCTGGCACGGTTGCTGGCAGTTGTGTTCTCAGATGCTACCCCCCAGCTGCTGTACTTACAGCCATGTACGGTTTGCAACCAGCATCAATTGTTTTAGCAACAGAGTCCACCAGGTAGCCACTGATTCCAAAATCGCACATCTTCACTTGGCCCAGAGTATTAATCAGCACATTTGAAGGCTTGACGTCTGAAAGCAAGAACGAGGATTGATCTCTCGACCACCAGAGGGCCTGAAATCCCCACTAGTTTTCACTTTCCTTTCCTGGAGTTGCCCAACACAAAAGTAACTGTCATCCCTGACTCACAGTTACTTACTGCTTATTGCTTTCAACTTGATTTTCTATTTCATGTTCTGTCTGTGTCCTGTAGGACTTTGAAGCCATTAAAGGAAAGATCTGTTTCTTCTGCCTATTTGATTATTTTCAATGCCCCCATACATGTAGGAAGAACTTAAAAAATTATTACTGAATCAAATGACCAGTTCAAAATGATCTATTGCATATTTAGTGTAGAAGAGATGCAGGAATGAAAAGACAGACTATAATACAATGATACACCAAATAGGATCAAAGCAACCAGTTTTGATTGAAACTTCTGCAAGAGATGTGTCATATCGAGTAACGCATTGTAAATCCAGATATTCCAGACCACCAGGCAGGCCATAGAGAAGGGGTATTACTGAGCATATTTTAAATAAGTCTTTCACACTAGAAAGGTATAACCCACCCACCCATGCACCCCAAAAGATGAAGCATTGTTTTCTCTGCATAATGGAATTAGAAATTACAGTTAATTTTTTTCCCTTTTTGAAACTTTTCACAAAGGACATGAAATCAGCATAAAAAAAATTATTCTAAAAGCTTTCAAAATTACCCTTTATAATCTTAGTTTTGAACTAAATGGAAGATATATAAATTTTTTTATTACTTTTTATACCTTATATGTATTCTCTAATATAAATTAAATATTTCAGACTTTTTAGATAAAACCCTTAAAATCAGTTTCACATTTGTGTATACACACATTCTTCTTCCTACCTGTCTTCCTTCCCACTTTCTTCTCTTCGTTATTATCATTAATTGTTCTAACAGGTATTTTATATTCAATTTAGGTGTAATATAAAGTCCATGTCTTCTTGGGTCCTCAGTCAAGATAAAGAATAGCTACTTACACGGTTGGCTAACCAACCCCAAAGGAAAGCCCCTTAGTTCTCTTGCCTGGCTCCATTTCACCTCCATGAGTCTGGCAGGTAGTGGCAGGGTGGGGGGACTCCAAGTAAAAGAAATGAACTTATAAAAGGAACAGCCAAGGCAGGTCCACAGATGCTTACCTCGATGAATGACAGAGAGCTTACTGTGCAAATGCTCTAAGGCTTTTACAATCTGCAAAAGAAACACAATACAGATGCATTCACCCATCACTGGAGAGAAATTGAATGTCAAGAAGTGTATCCAGCTTCATTATTCCTGGCTGAAGGTCTCCGGGTGAGGTGTTAACTCAATAGTGGTGGTCAAATCCAAAAAAAAATACATAGAAGTCACATAAATTGGAATTCACCTCCCAGAAAGGACTGTGTCTTATAGGAAAGAGCATGCCTCATGAATCTATCTTGTTTTCCACTCAGTCTCAAGTATTTCTTTTTTTCTCCACCTTCCTGAACCTCAATTGCCACTAAAGTAGCAGCTCTTCTTTCTATTTCTTTTTCTTCTGCCTCCTTCTTTGCCTAGTCTTCAGAAAATGTTTAAAAATCTACAAATGAAAGTTGAAATAAACTAATATCGGAAGATAGACACCAAGAATGCAGTCATAGCACATGAATGCACTGCTTAGAGGCATTTAATTTAGAGTTTAACAAACTAAGTCGGTGATGGAATCTTCCATACAGGGCTTAGAAAGAAAAGCATTTGTGTCTCCATCCTCCAAGGTACTCATGCATTCAACAGATACGAATTGAATGGTAGTTTTGGTCCAGGCAGTGTTTCTTTACACCAGAGGTAAAAAGACACATAAGGCCTAGACTTCTCACATTCTCCTAGTAGTAGGGTTCGTGATGTACTCTATTTAACTTAGAGTTTAACAAACCAAGTCGGTGATGGAATCTTCTATACAGGGCTTAGAAAGAAAAGCATTTGTGTCTCCATCCTCCAAGGTACTCATGCATTCAACAGATACGAATTAAATGGTAATTATGGTCCAGGCAGTGTTTCTTTACACCAGAGGGAAAAAGACACATAAGGCCTAGACTTCTCACATTCTCCTAGTAGTAGGGTTCGTGATGTACTCACAGAAACTGCTATTTTCCCTAAGATGTCCTCTGGAATTGTTTGGCCTTTATCAATAACTTGTTTGTAGAATTTATCTAGTGATGTATCCATGAGCTCCATGCAGATCCACACATCACCCTGGACACCAGTCGGTTCAGAGATTATCAGAAAGGAGAGAAAAGGGAAAAAGAAGAAACAGTTAACACCAGCCCTTCAAATTATTTCATGCTTGAGTTGTTGAAGGAAATGCACAGTTTCCCTTCAAGATCTCAAAGGAATTTGTAAACATGGAAGATAATCTTTAAAAGAGCAAACCAGCAACAGCCAAGCAGAACCTACAGGTAATCTCCCACTTCTTAACAAAAACTAGAATCTAACTTCTAACAGCCACAATCAGTAGAATCCCAAAATCCAAGTCTTTACTGTTACTGATGTCTATGTGTTAGGTTCTGTTCCATGTCTGGTCTCCCACGCGGAGCACCAGCACTAGTCAGTCAAAAGGCTGGATTTAAGAGTAAAGTGAAGCCTAATAATCCAAAGTGGAAAACAGAGATAGAGCACAGAGATTAAAGTGAGCCTAGGTGGTACACAGGCAGGCTACATGAACTTATAAAGTGGCCAGAAGACCAGAATATCTCACATTTTAAGAAATCGATGCAAACCAGTCTATAGACGATTGATATAAACAATTCTGCCAAAATAGACAAACTAAAACAGAAGGTAGAGGGGAGCATCTTTAAAAGGGCTAAACATGTTTTAAAATTCCATAATTTCAAGCCAACCTTGTACCAGGTCATGCCATGACTGCACACACGTAAAACCTTCTACACAAGACGCGTCAAACAAGAAAGCGTACCATGATTGTGCTCGACATTTAGGTGATCAGAAAACTTCTTTTTTAAGTTAGTGTTCTCCTTGGACTTTGATTGGAAGGATCACCTACCTCCCGGAAGAGCGCACCATAAAAGGTGACGGTAAATGGACAGTCCACCGTCCTCATGGAAATATCCAAATCCATCAATAGCCGTTTCTGCTCCTGGCTATTTACTGTAGCCCGGATCCGCTGAATGGAAATGTGTGGAAAATATGTGGTTACTACTTTGAGAATGAGTCAGTTACAAGGCAAGGACTTTAATGCTCCCATCCTGAAAATAGTACAAAAATTTACAGCTCAACCTCTAGCAAACCCTTTCAAATACAAACCCTATGTAATAAGCTATCTGTAACAAATGACAGTAAGGAAGACTGTTACTTATTTGATTTCCTGAACAGTCCCTGGTAAGAAGCAAACTGGTAGTATGTTTTGGAGAGTGAGTAAATGTTTGGGAATGCATTTCCAAATTACAAAAATCATCTGGTTTACTGTATTAGGTCCATTCAGTACAAAGAGGCGATAATATCAATTACTTTGCTGCTTGTTTGGGGTCCTCAGGAAAAAAAGCCAAAAGCCTCTCCTTGGGAAAATGTAAAACAGAGACAACAACTGTAGGAAGATTGCGACAGCTGGAGAAAATAGGAGATATCAAACAGAAATGGAGAAACAGTTCATTCCTATCCCAGTGCTTCTGATGGAAGAAAAACCTGTCACATCAGCAAATAAATGTAGCCTTGCAGAAACATAATTATGTTATTAAATGACAGGAAAGATATAATTCACTAGACCTTCACATTTTTTGCCTACTTAGTATAAAGTCAGCAGACGAACAGACTGAAAATCTGCAAGTCAAGGAAAAGATATCTTCCTACTCCAAAAGCCAAGGGATACAATTTACTTGATCATTTCTAACAATGGCCCACATAGACAAGAGTACTTCTATAACTCTGTGGGAAAAAAGAATAAAAAGAAAAATTGAATCTTTCCATGAACTTTTTAAAGTACCCTCGTATTAACTCATCTAGAGATGGTAATTCTGTAAGCTTCTCCAGCATCTACTCAAGAAATATAGAATGATTCCAAATTTCTCCCAATAGCTCAAAAGCTATACAAATTTACTCTAGATGCATTTTACCCTTGCTTTCCACAAATGGAGACAATTTTCTGTCTCAGTTCTGATTTCTTGATTTTTCAGGGACAAGTCTTTAAAAGCAACAGAATACAGAATAAAAGATACATGAGGCATAACAGCTAAATACAATATGAAAAATTTTGTTTGTACGGTGATTTGAAAAACCAACAGGACAAAATAAAAACAAACAAAAAAAATCATTTTGAGATGATCAAGGAAATTTTAATTTGGACCAAGTTTTAGATGAGGTTAAGGAAGTATTGTTAACCCTTTTTTTTCTTTTTTTTTTTTTTTTT